TACTAAAAAAGTTCACCGTTTGGCATTTGGAAACAAAGTCTAACCACATTTATAAAGTAAAATCATCTAAGACTTGGACAAAAAAGGAAAAAAATCTGTAAACAGCCCATTATTGAAAAAATTATAGGCAAAGGAAAATGAAGAAATCAGTTAAGTTGACTTTTTTATTTGTTCACAGATATATAAAGAATCCTGGATCCAGACTGGGATCTAGATCATCACTGAAATTTATGAAAATTTCAGCAAAATTCCTCCTTAACTTTTTTAGCTATTTAGAGAACAGACAAATCAACGCCAATGAAACATAACCTCCTTGGCAGAGGAAAAAAAAGTGGCTTGATAGTAAAAGTAAATTTAGGTTGCCTTTTGGTGGAACTGGCTGGCTCTCTGTTCTCCGTCCATATTCTGTGGACATTTCGGCAGTCAGTCCGGTTTGCTCCTCAAACATTTTCTCCCAATCTGAATCTTCTCATGTGTGGCAGTCATTCTGTGGTATCACATGGTTAGTGCTCAGATGTCATAGAGAAAAAGCCCTGTCATTAAACCGGTGAGGCTGGAGATTAATCTATAATTGGTAATCTTGTGGGAAATAAGGAGATTCTGTGCTGATGCATGAGGTTTCTCGTTAGCCAGTCCTTATCCTCATGCTCCTTCTAAGCCCTAAACTGTAATGGATGTTTTACTGTGACAAGTGTTGGCAGTGGAAAGATACTTACACTGTGTTTGGAGGAAAGCCAGCAGAGTGGGACAAATGGAGAGACCCATTCAGCTCTAAATTTATTTCTAAAGTGCTTTTCACTCTTGCTTTCTTGTTCTGACACAAAAGAATGTATTCATGGAATTCCTGGCTTTTTTCCCAAAACTGTGCTTTAAAATGTAAAAGACTTTGCTGTGGTTTCCCCACTATCTAATGTTATCTCTAGATCCAATTATAAAAAAAAATCTCGTTCTTTAAGCTTTTTTTCCCCCCCAATTTCAAATGCAGTAACCTGTAATGTTTTTGCCTCCATTATAAATCCTGTAGTCTTGCTGGATTGAATTTATCCCATGGGAAATTTTCCAAAAGGTGTGGACACAAAAAGAGCTAAAAAAAAAAAAAATGAGAGAGAGAGAGAAAGGCCATCTTGTTGTCTTTGCACACCCTGCTGACCTAATCCCAGCTATTTACTTTGTCAACCCCCTTATCACCCCTGGCTGTCACTGGCCGTATCAGGAACTGCTAAAATGTCTCATTATCTTGACAAAACCGAAAAAATTTGGACATTTGTGGGTCAAAATTATGAATTAAGTCTTTCACTGCTTGTTTTTTTTTTTTTTTTTACTTATTCAGTAGTTGTCTTGGCAGTTCTGCACATTCTTACTGAGGAGAGGAAATAAAAGGGCTCTTCTTGTGCAAGCATATGAAACCATTTAGGAAAATTAGGTAAGTAAGGGTAATTATAACTTATAATGCATCTTTCACAGATAAAATCAAAATGTTCTAAAAAGAATATGTAAAAAGGAAGCAAAGTAAACATTCTAATTAATTTTATCATGATGAACTTTAACAGTTCATAAAAGAAGTTTAAAATAAAACCTAAAATTAATCTGCAACCAGTAAAGTGAAGCTAAGACAGAAGTAATATGAGCTCTTCTGCTAATCCCTGTAAAAAGCCTTGCTGCAGTATTCTGCACCCTTTGTACGCAATTGACAGCAGATTTATGAAAACAGGTAGAAAATCTAAAACAATAATCCAACCGGGACAAAATAAAAGCATGCAAACTAATTTCCAGGTCAAACTGTATTTCTAAATCAATTTGAGCTAATTTCTTGAAACGCTGTTGAAAAGAGAAAAAAAATTTTAAAACGTTCGCAACCGAGTTTTTAAGGTTTGACTGGACAGAGGATCCCATAAAAATATGGTCCATTTGGATTTCAAGGATTTGTTTCATCAGGTAAAATCATCAATTTCTCAGTTAAGCAAAGATGTTACACTCTTTGACAAATTTTGGCAGACAGTCCCTTAGGTTCACATAGCACTTGAAGGGTACACATATATTGCCATTAGGGCTGCAACTAACAATTATTTTGCAGATCAAATAATCTGTTGATTATTTTTTCAATTAATCAATTAATAACCGAATAGCAAGAAGTTCCTTAAAGATTACTTTTTATGAAATTAAAATAGGTGAAACAAACAATTCCACTTAAGGACTACTGGATATAGCATATTGACAGATGAAAAGGGTTTTTTTTTCATATGTGAAATGCTTATGTATTTTCTTTACAATTTTGGTATAATTCTGGGGTTGGTTGATCTGTTCCCTAAAGGCATATTTTAAAGTCTCTAAACTCCAGTTAACGGTTAATCGATTACTAAATTAGTTGATGAATATTTCAATAACGGATTAATCACGATTAATCTGATTAATTGTTTTGGCCCCAATTGTCATTGTTGCTTTTTATGTGAGTGTTATCACAATACTTTCATTAGTTTCATAGACAAAGAAGAGAAGTATTTAAAGACATAACCTTGCACAAGCCTAGCCAACAACATATCTAAAATATGGCAAAGGGTTATAAAGAACCAGCTTTTGCTTCGCGCAGCTAGAGCAGCAAAGCTTCTTGAATCCAGCATTACTTTGAACGGTCAGTTCACACCGATGTCGAGCGGTTGAAGTTCCTTTGTCAGACCTCCCGGAATAACAGCAAGCACAGCGTTCATTTGTTTCACCATGTTTTTCACATCAGCTGTGAGATGGGCACGCATGGAGTCACAGATTAACAGCGATGGTGATGCGTGGAAAAAACCACCTGGTCTCCTTACATATACCTCCCTTAGCCACTCTTTCATCATCTCCTCAATGAGGAGATGAGGAGTTCTGCATAAAGCACATACCGGTACCTGTTATTTTATACACAATCCACGCCCACACTTCCCCCTTTAACGTTCTCATGGTGATCTCAACAACGTCCGCAGTAACAACACACATAGGGCACACCGCACTATAGGGCGCACCGCACTTTTTGAGGGGAAATAAAGTCGTTTATATGCGCCTTATAGTAGTGAAAATACTGTAGTAGATTTTCCAGCTTTCTATGAAAGTTCAAGATTAATTTAAATGGGGGTTTTGTAGATTAATATCACGGGAAAAGTTGTCAGATAGTGTTAACTTAAAAAATGCTCACAGCATCAAACCTATTGTAGCTGTAGTCTGTTCTGTGGTTCTAAGTGATATTGTTACTCTGATGTGGAAACATCTCCAACCAGCAGTGTCAGTTTTGGATCCTTAAAAGATAAAAACTGGGAAAGAACGCAGTTAAAAATCTCATATTTTTACATTTAACAAGTTTTTTTTTATTGTAATCCTGAGAGTTGATTGCACTGCTGTAAATTCCATGGTGGATATCTGCAGCTGTCTACAGGCGAAAGGCAGGGGACACCCAGTACATTGCAGGGCAACACATAGACAAATGGAACAAAAAACCTTTCACACACACTCACACCTAGCCTCATTTCCTACAGAGAATCCACGTATGTACAGGGAGAATATGCAAACTTCATGCAGAAAGATCTTGGGCTGGAAACCAAACCCGGAACCTTCTTGCTGCAAGGCAGCAGTGTTTCCAACTGCTCCAATGAGCAGGACAGTGCAATAATATGAGATTTCTACATTTGAGGACATCCTCCATTCTCAAGAAAAAAAAGTATTTTTTTCTTAATTCCTGAGAGCTGATAATTGTTACTGATAACCTTTTTTCCTGCAAATGCACACCGTACACTAGTTTCCAAGTACAACAACCGTCCTCCTCACCAGCATTTGCCACTTACTGTTTACGGGAGAGGAGTGTAGTTTTACAGCTTGTTGTTGGAACAAAATAGATGCAAACCTAATTTTAAAAAAACATGACCAACAGAAGTAAAAAGTAACAAAAGCTTCTATTAAAATGTTCGTGACTACCCCTGTTGACTGTCTGTTAATTTTTTGCGTAAGTTGTCTTGCACTTGGGTAAATACATCAAGAATCATTATATATATTGTAGTTATGAAACCATAATGGAATTTGAAGCAGCTTTCAGTCATTATGCTTTACTAATCTAAAACAATCTTTCTGAAAACTGCTAAAACCCTAAATAGCTTTAAATAAAGGTTAAAAACCTGTAGACTTGCCTTTGATTGTGCTAGTTTAACATTGCTGGTTAAAGTTCATTTTATTGTTCTTTTTTTTTAAAACATTTTAGTACTTTAATTATTCATTTTAATCAACTTTATGTATTCATAATCTTTAATAAGCCCTGTGATGGACTGGTGACATGTCCAGTGTATATCCTTTACTTCACCCATAGACTACTATACAGTAGATAGGCACCAGCCCCACTACAACACTGACAGATGAAGTGATGGAAGATCAAGGTTATTAATGCTTATTAATTATTAAATTAGTGTTATGCAGCTGCAATGTACTTTTTTTGTTTTTGTTTTTGTATTATCTTTCGTTTTTCATGTGCAGCATTTTAAAACTAAAATATACTGTTTAAAACAACTAACCTCATCTTGCCAGAAGAGAATCCCAGCTCAGAATGCACACATGACACTCACAAACAGAAAATAAAACCAGAAAAAATTTAAACTTAGAAGCCACTTATAAAGGAACACCTTTAGGGGAATAAATAAGAAGAAAAACTTTGCAAGACAACTTAAAAAATCCTATTCATATTCTTAAAAGAAACATATCTCTACATAGAATTGGAGTTAAAATGTTTTCTAGGTTTGGGAGCAGTACCACATCTCAGCCACACCCTATTTACCCAGCAGTCTCCGTATACCCAGTTCACCAAACCTGCACTGTCTGTCAAATTCTTTGGATCCAACAACCAATTTCCCTCAAACCCTTCTCAGCTCATCCCTCTTCCTTCCCATCACCCTCTTTCTCCCCTTCACTCCATAATCCTCATCCCTTTTTGTCTCATCACCCTCATCCCTACTTGCTCAGTCTTTATCATCTTCTCTTTGTTGCAGGTTCCATCTGTGGGACCCTAACAATCATCGGAAAAAGCCATATATCCGGAGAGCTGCACCCCCTCAGTATCTCCTCATCCCAAACCTTGAAGCAAGTCTCCCCAGATCATCCAATAATCACTTCCTGCCCACCCAGCACTTCTCATATCTTTATCCTGGTGTAATGTAGAATAAGGTGCAGCTTGTGCCAGACCGGTCTATATAATGGGCTGTGATCTGTTTGATTTTTGAGGGGGGCTGTTGGTATGTATACTGTATATGTGATTATGTTTGTGTGTGTGGCTCCATGATAGAGCAAGCATCTTTATGACTTTTTATCCAGGGGTATGGATAAATACATGGGGTTGACTGCCTTTACAGTTTAAGTGGAAAAAATCAGTTTTTAATTGTTCTGGATGTAATGCAGTTTAAAAGTTGTTTGTGATGGAACAGCTGGGGAAAGTATGTTCCCTGGTTAGCTGAGATCTGTGACAATGTTTCTGGGCCTTTTCTGGAATCATGCATCATAAACCGAGGGCAGATTTCTTTCATAGTATCTCACAATTCCTGGTGCTTCCCTCAGCACCTGTCCTTCTTATTCTGTGAAGGGCAGCTCCCCTACAACACTGTCACACTTGTAAAAAGAATGTTTCAATGGGGGCCCTGTAGAAGTTTGTGCAGGGATAAAAAGAGAGACTAGTCCATTTAAGCTTTCCAAAAAATAAGAGCTGTTGTTTTGCTTTCTTCATCAGGTAAAAGGTCCAGGAGAGTTCAAAAGAGGAAGTCAATGTAAATGTTACTATAATTATGCTTTCCAGATGCTCCACTGCTTTCCTATATATCTAGAGAGAAGCATAGGTTAGGTTTTCATGTCCAGTCTTGCCTAAATGAGCCTTTTTAGGTGATTTGTAGTTCAGATGTCACTGTCATTACATAAAGCCTTGCTGAAGTGCAAAAACAAGATGTGCAACAAAACTACAAATTAGGTTTTACTGAATTTACATACATACAAAGTTCTCCTTAAGATGGGGTTTCCAAATATTTATATTGTGTACATTTTTGGCCAGTAGGTCAGAAAAAACATTCTGTTCCATCTCTACCTACCACAATCGATCTAAATTATTGTAATCTTGTGTTATTTTTACACTTTATTGGCTGTAATGGTCAGACAGTTGAAGCCTCTTCCCACACCTTTCTGTTTTTTGCTAAGTCTAAATGCCAGAAAAAACAAGGCATCCATTTCAGTGCTGTCCAAAGCCTTTACACTTTGATTCACCAGAACAAAGTTCTCCATAAACAAAAAAAGAACAGCTTCAGATGCTCTGTAGCACATAACTTTAATTTCAAATTGCTGTTCAACGGAGGAGAAATTATAAAAAAGAAAAAAAAAACACAATAGTTTGAGTTCAAAGTTGCCCAATTATGATTTTGAAAGTTCCTGTGACTCAGAACAATGAAACAGCTGCAAACTTCTCTGTGGATGATGAGAAAACACAGGGATAACAGAAAACATGTGCAAACGTTCATGCTCTCAGATTTTACTCATGTAGAGATTTTACTCCGGAAGACCCTTTTTGTCAGTTCCCTCTGTCAGAACTCCTCTGCTCTATGTGGAGAGAGAAGCTTCAATATGGAAGACCGATGGGGCTTAAGGTAATCTGGAAATAAAATTGACAAAACTGTCTTAAGATTTATTTGCTAAGCTTGTAGCATATGTTTTCAGGAGAAAACTTGAGGCTATAATTAAAATTTCTGCCAAATGTGCAACAATAAAATATAAAACAAAGGCTGCAAATAGTGACATAAATGTGACTACTTAGTTTTTTCAATTTTGAAATAAATTAGCAACAGTCTCATAAATATATTTTCATACCCTGTTAAAAAAAGGCATGTGCATTAAACCAAGTCATTGGAGTCTCAAAAATAGGAAAACTAAAGTAGTGTCTGCATTCTATGTATGTGTGAATTTTGGGTGCCTTTGTAAATCTTCTATGTGTTATGGTTCTCCCCTTTGGACCTCTTTTTGAGTTTCCTTATAAAAATTTTAGTTATTTATGTCATTCTGTTTTCTGTTTTGTGTCATTGTAGTTGTTTTCTAGTTATATTTAAGCAAAGTTTTTTTTGTGTTCCTCTCTGTTGTCTCCCCTTGTGCCAGTCTCCTTTCTCCTAGTTTCTAATTGCTTCTATCCACACCTGCTCCCTGTCAGCTGATTACCACAGTCTTTGTTCTGCCTCCCAAATATATACACCTCCTGTGCAGTTCCTCAGTGATGGTTTCTTGTCATTACTTGGCCCCTAATGTGTGTTTCCCCTGGCCTTTCTGGGTTTTTGGTTTCCTGTGTTTTGTTCTTGGTTTTTATTTCTGTTGTATTTTTGATAAAATCAGTAAAAACTCATCTTGGCCTCCTTCTACTCTGCGTTTGGGTCCACAATCACATCCATCATCTTTGACACTATGGCTACGTTCACACTGCAGGTCTTGATGCTCAATTCCATTTTTTTTTTGCGTTGCTATTCACATTTCCAAATATATGCGACTTTTATGTGATCTCCTGTGTGAACTGCATTCATACAACCTAAGTGTCCCGCATGCGGAGTAGAGGATGCAATAAGGTCACAAGCAAGCGTGCTCTGTGTTTACCGAAGTAAACATGGTTGGTAGTGCCGGAGCGCATCTAGCATCTTTCCCAACCTTAAAAACTATATCTTTCAGTAATGGTTAAACATAATTACTACTCTCCGCATTATTGTCCACCATTGTTGTTGCATTTCTTGCCACTTCTGCGTAGCAAGAGGCAGAAGAGTGACCACTGTCGGGTATTACTGACAGCCAGGTCGGATGAATGCGACACAGGTCTCATTTGAAAAGATCAGATTAAGGACCACATAGCCATGCAGCCTGGGTCGCATTGGAAAAAAATCGGATCTGTGTTGTTTAGACTGCCATGCAAAGATCAGATCCAGGTATCATATGGGCAAAAAAAAATCAGATTTGGGTCACTTCAGGCTGCGGTGTGAACCTAGCCTATGATGAACCTAGATTATGATTCTCAATTTATGATTCATTTATGTGCTTTAGAATTCCTAAGTGTGCACTTGTACCTGCAGTGTGTGTTTTTAGACTCCTTTAGCTCCATAGATACCTTTGTTGGCCACTAGTGGATGTAGCCTTATGGGCCTTTCAGACAGGATTCAAGGTTCAGGACCTTGCTGGCTTGGTGCAGCTGTACTACCTGTTCAGCGCTGTGCTGACAGTTACATGTGTTGTTGAGAGCAGCAAAAGTGCATCTATACATCAAGCGCTGGGGAAAGCCCTGCTAGATCGGGAAAAAGATCATCAACGAAGAAGCTGTGGGTGCACAAAACTTTCAGGTCAAGGGAGCAGTGTGGGGAGTTCTGGCTTGTGAATGAGCTTTGTTCTCAAACCGACCATTTCCAGGTCTATTCTGGTTCAGTGTGAAGCAGTGCAAGAGTTTACCAGGGAAAGTCATATCATCCCAACAATCAATGTAAATCAAACACACTGAGAAAAACGGTATAAAAGATTCTACTCCGCTTTGCTTTCTGGTCTCCTGTCTAAAGAAACGATTTGTATTGACTGCACGTCTGCACACCTTGGGTAAAATCCAATAAAGTTGAACTCTGACCACAGGGGCTCCCTCGAGCTAGGCTTTGCTCATGCCTTTTTGGGCCCTAGAGTAGAGCTTGCCATTGAAAATAATGGGTTTCAGAGCACAGCAGCATGCACCGTGACCGATCTAAAGGGTTCTTTAAAAAACCTTACTGAACAAAACATTATTCTTTTAAACAAGGAACACAACCAACAGGTTGTTAAAGGCTTTGAATATTTTTGAGACAAGGTCAGATTAGGCCATGAATCAATATCCCACAGTTTAAAAATCTTAGGAAGAACTGTTGTAACGGCCATCCTGAAATATAAAGAGTTAAAATAAAAAATCTGCAGAGAGACTGGAAATCATTAACCAGAAAAAGCAGACTGAGGACCTTTGTCATCCCTGAAGGAGCTGTCTAAATGAAGACCTCAGGTGGTCAATCTGTAAATAGAATAATTTAATCATGCAATCCATAAGCCTTTAACTGATATAGGTGTGGACAGAACAATACCATAGAAACTGTAAGCCATTTAAGGAATTCAAACATGCGAAAGAGAGATTTCTGGTCAGATTCGACTGATGCTACGTTCACCCACGTTTTTTTTTTTTTTTTGCTTCATCTCAAGTTTTTGAGAATTGTCATTTACACATCTTTTCATATCCAACCATAATGAGACTTCAATCTGACTGGTTCAACAGATAAAATTGAACACATAGAGGAATGTAGGTATCACACAGTAGGGCACTGTGTATGGAGGTAATGATGAATGTGACTGTCACTACTCATTATTCAATAAAGGTTTGGTAAAAACAAAAACAATGTGAATAGTAAATACCAGTGTCTCAGTGTGGCACCCGAGAGGTGCGATCGTCTTAAATAAAACCATAAAGCCAAACAGACTGCGGCGATTGTGAGCAGAGCTTTAAAAAGTTTAATCGATTAAAAATCAATAAAAGATAAAAACAAGTTAAAAGGAAAAAGATTAAAAAGAAAGATAAAAATCCAGATGGTGGAGAGCAGCAGAGTCAATGGCCCAGTCTGTTAAAAGACGCGCACTTGGCGGGTATAATGGAGGGCACCGTCCACCCCAGCGCTGGATCCTCGTTCCGGCACGCTGCGCGTGTGGGCCTCTCCAGCGTAGCGGGCCTGCGAGGTCACCTCCAACACGCACCTCTCGCCAGCGTGCCTCTGCGCCTCGCTCCATGACGGGCCTCTGCACCCCGCTCCGGCGTGCGTCTCTGCACCTCGCTCCGGCGCGCGTCCCTGCACCTCGCTCCGGCGCGCGTCTCTTCACCTCGCTCCGGCGCGCTCCGGCGTGCGTCTCTTCACCTCGCTCCGGCGTGCGTCTCTTCACCTCGCTCCGGCGCGCGTCCCTGCACCTCGCTCCGGCGTGCGTCTCTTCACCTCGCTCCGGCGCGCGTCTCTGCACCTCGCTCCGGCGCGCGTCCCTGCACCTCGCTCCGGCGCGCGTCCCTGCACCTCGCTGCGGCGGGCGTCCCTGCACCTCGCTCCGGCGCGCGTCTCTGCACCTCGCTCCGGTGCGCGTCTCTGCACCTCTGCTCCAGCGGCCTCCGGCCGTCAGTCCCCAAGCCTCTTCCGCTGCTTCCCTCTCACCTGCTCCGTCCGGCTCCCTCCATGATCGGCCTTCCCATGTCCGGGGTCTCTCTCCAACCAAACCTTCCCATGTCCGGGTCTCTCTCTCCAACCAAACAGCTGCCTTTTTAATCAGCGTCCCAGTCGGCACGCTGCTTGGTTGATGGGCAACACCTGTGCCGTTACTGTGGGCGTGTCCAGGTGTGAGTGGCAATGTGGCCTCCAAACAAAATCCCAAAAAAAAAACATGCACACACAAAATTAAAAAACAAGCAAACAAGTTCAAAAATAAAGAAAATCAAAAATTTGAATACATACAATAAACTTAACAAAAAGGCCACATTACCACATCAGTGTTACTAAACTATTGAACAATGGGAGCTGTCAGTAACATGACCCTATAATCAGTGTTGTGCCTGAACGCGTTCATTGAACGAAAGTTCATGAACTCGTTCATATTTTGGGCGAACGTGAACTGAACGTACGGCATTACTGCCTGATGAACGTTATTGTGAACTCGTTCATTCTGGTGTCTGTGAACGGCACGCTCTCAGTTCAACTTCGTTCAATAGGTTGCCAGATTTCTATAGAGCCCTCCAGGCGAAACCCCAGCTAAATCACACCGTAAACAGGCATTAATATGTAGCGGGAAAAACACCCAATCTGGCAACACCAGCTACCAGTGTCGTAGCCTACAGCCGCGTGCGTCATCAAAACAAAATGCAGCGTGGAAGCCACAGCAGCATGGAGATGACCGTGGATGCGAAAAAGCAGCAGTATGATCACTTAAAACAGTTTTATGACCAGGTGGTCGGTGAGGATGATGGCAACAATCTTACATTTCTCTGCAAACTTTGCCCGCCGGCTTTCAGTAAAAAAAATCCGCACTTCAGTAACCTTAAATTCCTTCCTCAGCCTGGTCCCTCAGTTTGTGTTAGTAAAATGTTCTTGAGGGTTTTACTATGTAACTTGTTGGTTAAACCTGCCTGGTATAATTTTCCAGGATTCCAGTATTCCTTTTTAGTATGTACTGAAATGGAATTTTAAATTGAAAAAAATATTAAAATTAAATAAACATTTGCACCTTAAAGACTACTTTCCTGTTTTTCTTTTAATAATTCCTCATAAAAAAGACGATTCAAGCAGCACATTTTTCCTGATATTTCTGATAATATACTGTAGGGGTGAAGCTGCAGCTGCTTCTAGTGTGAAGTGAATGGACAGCAACAAAGCGTTAAAGCAACAATGGGGAAATGCTGTCCCCTCAATGCTAATGTAAATCCTGGTTGGATAAGGATTCAAAACTGGATATGAAGATGAAATCTGACGCACAGTTTCAGAGTTATAACTGATAAAATAATTGCTGTCTGTGGTTCTACAGTAGGCTATGGTGTAATTGTACGGAGCCCCTCTGATGACATGGTCAAAAAAAATTTTTAATTGTGGCCACGAAGTAGTATTTCGTGCGCACGAAATACTACTTCATGGCCACGCAATAAGTATAACGTGCGCATGAAATACTACTTCGTGGCCACGCAATAAGTATAACGTGCGCACGAAATACTACTTCGTGGGCACAATTACATTTTTTTTTTTAACCATGTCATCAGAGGGGCTCCGTATACAGGTGCTGGTCATAAAATTAGAATATCATGAAAAAGTAGATTGATTTCAGTAATTCCATTTAAAAAGTGAAACTTGTATATTATATTCATACATTACATACAAACTCATATATTTCAGATGTTTATTTTGTTTAATTTTGATGATTACAAATGACAACAAATGAAAATCTCAAATTCATCATATCAGAAAATTAGAATATTACTGAAGACCAATAAAAACAAAGGATTTATAGAAATGTTGGCCAACTGAAAAGTATGAACATGAAAAGTATGAGCATGTACAGCACTCAGTATTTAGTTGGGCCTCCTTTGGCCTGTATTACTGCAGCAATGCGGCGTGGCATGGAGTCGATCAGTCTGTGGCACTGCTCAGGTGTTATGATAGCCCAGGTTGCTCTAATAGTGGCTTTTAGCTCTTCTGAATTGTTGGGTCTGGTGTATTGCATCTTCTTCTTCACAATACCCCATAGATTTTCTATGGGGTTAAGGTCAGGAGAGTTTGCTGGCCAATTAAGAACAGGGATACCATGGTCCTTCAACCAGGTACTGGTAGCTTTGGCACTGTGTGCAGGTGCCAAGTCCTGTTGGAAAATGAAATCTGCATCTCCAAAAAGTTGGTCAGCTGCAGGAAGCATGAAGTGCTCTAAAACTTCCTGGTATGTGGCTGCGTTGACCCTGTACCTCAGAAAACACAATGGACCAACACCAGCAGATGACATGGCACCCCAAACCATCACTGACTGTGGAAACTTTACACTGGACTTCAAGCAACGTGGATGAAGTGCCTCTCTTCTTTTCGTCCAGACTCTGGGACCTTGATTTCCAAAGAAAATGCAAAATTTACTTTCATCAGAGAACATGACTTTGGACCACTCACCAGCAGTCCAGTCCTGTTTCTCTTTAGCCCAGGCAAGACGCTTCTGACGCTGTCTGTGGTTCAAGAGTGGCTTGACACAAGGAATGCGACAGCAGAAACCCATGTCTTTCATACGTCTGTGTGTGGTGGTTCTTGAAGCACTCACTCCAGCTGCAGTCCACTCTTTGTGAATCTCCCCCACATTTTTGAAGGGGTTTTGTTTCACAATCCTCTCCAGGGTGCGGTTATCTCTCTTGCTTGTACACTTTTTTCGACCACATCTTTTCCTTCCCTTCGCCTCTCTATTAATGTGCTTGGACACTGAGCTCTGTGAACAGCCAGCCTCTTTAGCGATGACCTTTTGTGTCTTGCCCTCCTTGTGCAAGGTGTCGATGGTCGTCTTTTGGACAACTGTCAAGTCAGCAGTCTTCCCCATGATTGTGTAGCCTATAGAACTAGACTGAAAGACCATTTAAAGGCTTTTGCAGGTGGTTTGAGTTAATTAGCTGATTAGAGTGTGGCACCAGGGGCCATCAATTTTGAACCTTTTCACAATATTCTAATTTTCTGATATGATGAATTTGAGATTTTCATTTGTTGTCATTTGTAATCATCAAAATTAAACAAAATAAACATCTGAAATATATGAGTTTGTATGTAATGTATGAATATAATATACAAGTTTCACTTTTTAAATGGAATTACTGAAATCAATCTACTTTTTCATGATATTCTAATTTTAAGACCAGCACCTGTAATTGAGCAATATATGAAAAAAAAAAAAAAGAACTATGAACTAGTTCATATTTTGGAACTGTGAACTTAGTTCAAAATTTTGAATTATGAACTATGAACTGAACTAGTTCATTTTAAAATGTGTGAACTGAACTTTGAACTAGTTCACATAGAAAGAGAACTTTCCCAACACTGCCTATAATTAATAAAAAGGAAAGTTACTCCCCAAATCATTTTCAATAGTTTCATATACAAGTACTGTATCAAGCCGAACCTCATGGCAACAGCCATGGTAACCATTGTGTTTTTCAGTTCAGCCAGTATATTTAACCTCCAAAGCCATACGGTGACGCTTGGCGCCTCCTTTTTCTAGTCCTTTCCCTTCCTTTCTGCGACCACTCATGTTGTCAGTTTCACTTGGCAGTTCCCATTATAACAGTGTTCTCCCACATCCTTCCTCCAAGCAGCTGTAAGACTCTATAACCACCACTGTTCCCAACAACCTCAATAAGTTGTTACATTCATGATGATTTTTGCAGTTTCATGCTGCTGTCATTTTCCGCATCTCCGATGCTGCTGCTATTTTTAAATATCCATGACTGTAAAAATGTCCATAGCTGTATATTGGTTATTTATTCTCCATGTGCACAGTCTTTGTATCGTTAAAATATTTTACAATACAGTATTTTATTGTTTATCTTTTAACTCTTCACTATTATGTTATTCTTCTACACTTTTCTAATGTCCACATTTGTTTGACCATTTCTTCTATAATCTTTTTACTGCTGCTGTAAACATCAGAATTTCCCCATTGTGGAACAATAAAGGGGTTTTCCATTCTCTTCTATACTATCTTATTCTATTCTAACCATAATGGTCTGCTTTTTTTTGTTTTTTTGTTTGTTTGTTTATGTGTGAAAAGCAAAAAAAGAAGAAAAAACAAACAAACAGAACCTCATGGCAACAACCAAGATGGTCTGCTTGTGAAAGCAAATCTGTTGGGCTATCATCTAACTCAGGACATCGATTCCCAGAGCTTTGTTGTCAAAACAGTACACATAAAAAGAGAAAACAAAGCAAAAACAAACAGGAAAGGTAAAAAACAAAAAAAACAAAAAAACAAAAAACAAAGGATGACTTTTAACAGCAGCCACTTGCAAAGCAATCAGTGATGCTGCTGCTTTATAGATGTGTAGCAGGACTCCTGGCAATGACCTATAAGTCAGATAAAATGGGGCCTGACCGTTCAGACTGCAGTTGCTTTGAAAAATATCAGATATGTATCCAATTTACAGTAGTGAGTGGCTCAAAACTGAATTATTGAAAAAGTTAGATATGAGACACATATGGGCAAAAAGATTGGATTTTGGTCTGAGGTATGGATGTAGTTTAAACCTGAACATTGGGTCTAAATGTAAAATGTTAGCATTAAAAATACTGAATGATGTACACAAATGTAAGCACATTTTTTTTTTTTTATTTGCAAATATTTTTAAACTACTTTTGTTGGTTTATCCCATACAATAAACTGAAATTTGAGGTTTTAGCAATCCAAAATTCAAGGGGTCTGAATACTGTTACAAGTTTTATTTTATTTTTTTGCTTTTAAAAACTGTGTAAAAAAAAAAGTTCATATTTACAGACATCTGGTACATCAGCAGTGTACTGCCTCATACACCACAGGTTTTGTTTGTATGTTTTTTTTCCTGGAGTGTGACAGAAGCCAGGAATTGCTCTCTACATATAAACGAATCAAAGAACTGCCAAAACACAGGCAACTGTCTAAACAGAGGTTTGTTATGGGTTGAAAAATGCCATAAAAGAGTTAAATAAAACAAAACCTTACATTCAGAATATAAAATGGCAACATTTTTCTTCACTCATTTTAGTTCTGTGCCGTGAGTCTGGCGTGTTCATTTCCCTTCCTGCATTTAGCTCAGTCACTCATTATCGCATGCAACAACTTGAGTTTTATGAAGTGCATTCCTCACAATGTGATAATTTGCTTTGTATTTAGAATTATCTCCTCTCCTCAGCCATCATTATCTTACACAGCAGCATGAATTTTATATGCATCTCTGAGAATGCTGGAACTCAATTTCCGTACTGCATATTTCAAGCTACTCACAGCTGATGCTGCTCAGAGCAGTACAAAAAAGTAGGAGGGTGTGGTCTACCTCAATGCTCTCATTTAATGGCTGAGGAGGGGGGCTGAGAAGGCTTCAATTCAGTGGAAAGTGGTTATTCTATATTTGCTCCAACCAAGCAACCACCCCACCCTCAACACATCCCACATGAAGTCACACCAGCAAAGAAGTTTATGAATGCTGAACCTCTTCTTGCAAGGTTTGCTTATACAGAAAACCTAAAATAATTTTTTTCCTTAAAAAAAAAAAAGTACAACCACTGCATTTAGACAATGATCTAGTTATTCTGAGTTAAACTCTTAAAGTGCTGTGAAGTTGTACAGCTCTGCTGTGAATAAATGCAAGATTTTTAAGTCAAATATATAATTTTCTGGTGTAATAAGAGGAAAAGCAGGATTAGAGTTAGAGAAAGACTGCATAAATGTTAGAGTTCTGTGAGCGGGTGGGGTCAGGTGGACCAAAATGGCTTAGACCACACTATATGTAAAGTTGGGGTAATTACTAAGTTAGAAGATTTAAATAGCTGGGCCCACAGTGGTAAACACACTGGCAGCGAGGGAAGCTGTCTGCAGTTTCCTACCAGCTTGGTGCTGAATGCTCTAACATTTGTTTTTCTACAGGATTAAAGAGGAAGAAGAATTAAAAACCATCCCTTTCACTGTAGCATATTTGTTGATTTTGGTATATCTCAACACTTGTTGCTGTTTCTTTTAATTTTGTTTGATTTGGTATTTTTAAATAGTATCTTAATGCCTGACTTGTGGTTTTGGTGTTTGAATCTTTAAAAAGGTTGGAAACTACTGGAGTGGTGATCACATGGGGAGGAATTTCTCTGACTTTGGTCATTCCCCCACAAGAGGACATATAAAGTTTTATATAAAAGGTCCAACGTTAAATAAATGTATAAGGATGTTTTAACTTTTTAGTGTTTGTTCAGTAGCTAAAGCCAATTAAAACAAACAAAAAATCTTGGTCCACACTGAACAGCATGCATCCACACCCAGACTTGGGACAGGTTAGACCAACATAGATAAACATGGCAATAAAATCAGACAATGCTAAAAACAAATTATGAAAAAAGGGGCTTTTACAGCCATAGCTTCTCATTTTTTTCAGTAAATGAGCCATTTATTCGTTTTTCCTGTTTTACTTTTGCTATTCTGGACTCAATTCTACCTTTGCAACCACTTTCACAACACAGCTACTTTTATTTTTAAACAACAAAATCATAATAATTTTAGGATAAGCAATAGGTGCATCTAAGGAAATTAGAAAAGCATCATTAGATAACATTTTACTTAAATTATTTTTAATTTAAAAGGGTAAAACTCATGCATATTTCTATTGAAATTAAATTATAACAATGTTTTTAATAAAGAAATGTTACAGCTTACTTAATCCAGGGGAAAGATGCTCACTTTGCAGCTGTTGAGCAAAAATACTGAATTAATAGTTCTTTAAAATGGACTGATCAGACTTAAAGACTGCGGATTAGAAGATGGAAAAAATCTATAGACTTTCCCAGATTTGCTTGCAGTTTCTTTTCCACCTGTTTCCTTTTTTCTTTTTTACAAAACTGACATTTACAAATGATTTATTATTGAAATTTATTGCAACAAACATCTGATCATAGAGACCATGATACTGCGGCCCCTTATCAACACCTGCCAAGAGACTTGTGTCAACAGCCACAGACCTGTCGACAAATCTTGCACAATCCTGCAAACCAGCTGCAGTTGGAATGTTAGCTTACAGTAGAGTAGCAACATCTGTTTCAGGTGTTCCTTTCCACCTAAAGAATATTTAAAAAATATTACAGCAAAATAGCAAATTTATCTTTAACAACTTTAAATACAGATTTATTAAATAAGGTGAAAAGAAAACACATTCAGAAATTTTGAAAAAGAAACATTAAATCTTTTGCAAGAGATAATACTTGCTTAAGTCAAAAGATAAAGACACAATTATTTTCTCTCAATTTTTAAAGATCATTGTTATTTAAATAAAGTTTGATTTTGAGTGTCTTTGAAGCAATAACTCTACAGCATCTAAAGAAACAACCCCACAAAGACATGTTCAGAAAACCATAGCTATCAAATTTGGAGTTTTATCAAATACAAAGACAACAGTTTGCAGTACATTTTTTTTACATGGACACAATAGTTTGGAGTGCATTAAAAAAAGAAAACAGTAATCCAGCTTTGAGTGGGATAGAGTTTTGTAATAAATAAAATAACTTTTGGTTTAACTGTTTCAAATGTTTTTTTAAATATTAAGACAATCTACATTTGCTTTATGTTGACTGACCACAATAAAAATCATTGATGCAAAAAGGTTTTCCAGGAATATTACAGATTGTTTTATGTAAGGTTCTAGTGAGGTTATCTATAAAGTTAGGAACTAATAAAGATTTTTTAAAAAGCACATAAAAAATGTTAAAAAATAAATACAACACTTAGTTTTCTGCACCTTTAAAACATCATATACAGCCTCAGTGAACAGAAGGTATAACAGTATCTACAAATAGTTCAAACCAATCAGTGGAGGGATTTATCTGTTCTAGTTGAACTTCGCATTTTGAAAGAAAACTGAAAGAAAATAAATAATTATTCCAACAGGATGTAATGTTTTAGTTGATATCAACCATCTACACTTTAACTGGAGACCTGCAGTTTCCCAGCTAAACAACTTCAAAGTTACCACTCTACATTATGTTGTGTAAACCACATTAGCTGTAACTAAATGTGTTTCTTACTCAGCAAAAGCAGAGAAGTACTATGAAGTATTGTATCAGGCTTCGTTTTGTGCAATGACATTAAAGAATCCTGCTGCTATTTTTTGTTTTCTTTTTTTTTTTTTTTTTTTTTCAGATCTCAATTGTCCTGGCAAATTTTGGATGAGTTTATGGCATGGTTTTATAAGTCCTCCACCACCCAAACTATAGCACAAAAACAGAGAAGTTGTTTTGCTTAAAAAACTCCAGGAATATGGGCAGCTTCAATATCAATTAAGGAATTGAAAGAAGAAATTAATATTCTAATGGTGACGGGAAAAAAAAGCGAGGAAGTAAGTAGCTTGAAGAGAAAACAACAGTGAACACTTGCAATGAAAGATTGAAGGATGGAATAATGTAACTAAAAGGGAAAGTGATTACAGGAAAAATCAATAAGTGAGCCTAATTAATGCAATTAAAGTTATAAAAAAGGATGCTTTAAAAGAAACTAACATAACATACAGTAACACAAAAAGAGGAACCCAAATGTGACAATGAAAGGTAGAAATTGGAATAACAACAGATTAGGTAGTAAGTGGAACTTTACAGCCAAACGAGACAGATTACCATACAAGAGAACTAAGGTAAATAAGAAAAGTAACACTTAAACTCCAAACATAGACAATAAATAAAATACTTAAAATACACAGACATAAAAAGTGACATTGCAAGATGTAGATGATTGATATCCACTAATTTTTTTTCTTTTGTGCAACCCATCGATTTCAACATTTCCAGTTTGAGTTTTGCCATTGTTAAAATCAGCTAAAACCTGCTCTGTATTCAAATTTACTGAAATATGACATCTGTACAATATAATTATAAAACTATAACTGATGATAATTTCATCAAGTATCATTTAAAGAAAATAAGTTAATAAACTATAGATTTTTTCCTCCATTTTGTTCTATTTCACCCTGAAGACTTTATCTTCAATCAGACTAATGGATTTGTCTGTAAGCATCTTTTCACTGCTCACAAACTTGTATCCAAATAGCTTCAGTGTTGGTCCACAAGCTCTTTGCACAATCTGAGCTATCTTGAACGGTAGATTGAACCTCCATTTCTCCACCTGTTCAGAGGAGTTCTTCTGGGTAGAGTAAACCCCGCTGGTCTCCTTAGAAACCTGAGTGTTCTTTAGGATCCAGGCTTTCACCTGTGGAGTGAGAGGAATTCCAGAAAACCTGAACATCTCAATTGCCTTCCTCATGGGAAAGCGAGCAATGTCCTCATATCGCACCAACAGGTACCTATTGAGCAGCCAAGGAGGCTGCCTGAGGCCAACTTCCGCAGACAGGCGGATGTTGTCACAGTTGCCTTTCAGCTTCCTCACCTCATCCTCATCAATGGGAACGTCGCCACCCATGGCCCACTCCTTCCAGCTCTTGTATTTGGCAGCAAATGCGACCATACGGGAGGCCAGCACTGCCCGAGGATCCCGAACAAGCTGAATGAATCTGATGTCAAGACGTGGATCCTCAGCAAGTGGACGGAGGTTCTCCAGCTGGCGCACCCTTACAGATTTAATGACCCTGTGATCTTTCTTAGAGCAAGACTCTGATGCCATGGTGAAGTTCAGAGGCCCACAGCGTCTCGTCTTGCAGCGGTAGCGCTCAAAAACCCCCTTAACGACAGGACTGCAGACAGACTCCTCACACAGGGAGCCGCTAGACTCCCTGCGGAAGAGGCTAGTGGTGACATGGTTTACAGGGAGTGGGTCGATAAAGCTTTCAAGCAACGAGAAGTTGCACAGGAAAAGTTGCTGGAGAACGTCGCGGTACGCCTTTGCTGACGCCGTAGCATTGGTACCTCCAGTGTCTAAAGTTAACATCTTCTCCACATGCCACAAAGGCTCGAATAGATAAAACATGTTGCTGCCTTGCTGATTGAAAAACTCGCCTACGAACGAGGATCCAGTCCTGGTGGTGGCCAAGAGCAGAACATGTTTTTTTCTTTTCTTCATCATCTCTTGATGTTCACTGTAGTTTCCAAGGCGTCGCTTCACAACCTGGTAGCCTTTGCTGAGTGAGGAGAAGGAAACATTGTGCTTCAGTGCTAAATGGGAGAAAACACCAGGATGTAGAGGAGTTTCAGGGGTCTGCTTTAGGTTCAGCTTATCTGAAACCCTAGAGAAATGTGGAAAAGCATATTTTTTGAGTTAAAATACAGCTGTGCTGTATAAAAAAACAGCTACATTCATTTGATCTGGTCTGTTGGAACAGAAACAGAAGGGTTCTATTAATATTGCCACTTAACCATTTCGTCCCTTTGAAGTTTTTTTAGATGAGTATAAAAAGGTGCCATCTACTGTAGGACATTTTATATAAACCACGCATACATTCTTCACAATTATTTCCTGTAGTCATTATTTGCTGCCGTGGATTTATGACTCTAATAGTAATATCCATCAGAGAGAAATCTCTTAAAATCTTATTAAAGTTGACTGGCCCAATTGGGAATTAGGGGGTAATAAAGCTTTCTCAAAGTATCATACACATGAATAAATGCCGGGCATACACTATGTGACTTTTTTAATCATTGCATGCAGCTACAGCTCACTCTGTAAAACGAAACCGCAGGGTTTCGTTTTACAGAGTGAGTTAACAGTTCAATATGTATGTTATATGTATGTGCGACCCGGCGCTCTGATGCGATCCACCCGCTCACACTGTACGTCTAAAAACCACGTCAGACTCAGCTTCGCAGTGAGATGGTGCTACTCGGACTTCTCTATCCGGAAGCCAAACAAGTAGAGGAGGAATATGAAGATTATTAGACTGAAATGCGCTGCCTTGGCAATTTGTGTAATTTTGTGTGCTAAAGGCCCTAAAAAGAAAGGGCGAAAAAGTATTTGGAAAAAGACATGGCTGAGCAAACGTGACTACTAATGTCTCTCAATTTTACAGAAAAAAACTCCATTTCACTCGCATCCCCGCATAGCTTCTTTCATCTGAGAAGAAGAAGAAGAATCCTTGTTTGAGCATTTGCACTGAGTGATTTGCCCACGACGGCCAACTCAATTTCAAACATGTTTGATTTTCTCCCGACCTCACAACTCCTGATCAAGAGGTGGTTGTGAGAGGATGATCGCCAGTAGTTACCCCCTGTACAATACACGATGCACGACTCATCAGGCTGAAAGTCAGCCCGATCGAAAAATTCTCACACAACTGGAAAGTCTGCCCGAAAAGAGCAAAAAAATCGTACAAGTGTAAGCCCGGCTTAAAGTAGACATGAGATGTATACATCTCTAGATGTTATTTCTTCCCAATAAATGAAAGTATTTTTTAATCATGAATTAAATGGTTTGTTTACAGCTGTGAAATAGAGGTAGAAAGGGATGAAATGGAAGTGCAATTTTTTTCAAGATAAATTGACCAAAAAGACTATGGACTCACCTTGAGATGATCCTGTTTTCCTTCTCAATGATAACAAGTGCCACAAAGAAAGCAATGGGTATCATGTATTTGATCCTCATCCTCGGAGGTGGCTGCATCGAGATGTAACTTTACACACTACTTTCTAATAGGTTCTGCCAATCATTCAAATCTCCAGCCACCTTTTTAAGGAGCCTTCCAGTTATTTGTGTTCTTCAGTGTAGGCTATGTTTCATCCTGTAAAATTGAATCAACATCCGCTGTCAGCTTGACATTTTGCACATTTGAAAACAGACAGCTGTAAGCAGTAGCTCTGTCCTTTTGTGATATTCAAGGGGAAGTTAGGACTATTGCCTGGCCACATAAAACTGCAGTGTGATGCTGACTCACATATGTGTTTACACACAGAAAGATTCTTACTTCCCTAATTATTTTATTTTTGCTTAGCTGAGTAGCTCTCTCTCCTGCAAAAAAATAGATTTAGACATGCACAATAGAATCCTATATTACGAGATAGTACAAAAAAATAGCTGAGTGTGTTAGTCTCAGGTATAAGCCAGTACCAGCCATAAGGAAGTCCTTGTTATCTTTAAGTGCACCATTGCATTTTAGAAACATGCCCACCCACCATGCCAGACTGAGGGCTGGAGCACATAGAGACACTGTATTTATGCGTTAGTCATGCCTAGAAGTTCTTTTAGAAAAGTGAGCAGACAAACAACTGAGCATAGAGTAAAATATGAGTGACAGGCTGCAATCAAGCACGATCTTTCCAATTAAGCTGTTATCCTACTCCAGCAAAGCTGCTTACCAAGAAACTCATGGCTTTGAGTGATACTCTACCACTCTACCAGATGTAGGCAAGAGAAGAGCTAGGTGTCTGGTATTCCAGCTTCACTTCTTTGTCAAAACTGGGAGGAAATATTGTGAATAAGCTGTCCTCAGTGACTGCCTTTGTGCCACTAAAGCATAGAGTCAGACTGCACATGTCCAATTGCTGAGACCTAAACTTGTGCTGTGCGTAAATTGATAGGGGAGGCCTAGGGTGTCACAGAGCAATAAATTGCAGCGCTCTAATCCTGGGGGCTACTCGTGACTTTTATAAGTCTTTAGACTGATAGTGCTGAGTAGTAAAATGATGATAAGGGTGGATTAAATAGCACCTATTTGCTAACATATTGCATATTCTTGAAAGACTAATACATAGTTGCTTTAAAGAAAATTGCAGGTTGATTTAGATCCCTGACTGATCTTTAAAGTTTAGTATAATCCTTAAAAAAACAGGACATAAAGCAACAATTAGGCACCTTATCTGAATACAAAGTGTTTCTGTTTTGTCCTTGTTGCCCTCAAATTTAAAATGTCTCAGTTTGCAGCCTTTTAAATGTTTCTTACAGTATAGCCCTGCATTAACATGATTTAACCATCTTCCTATGATCTCTTACCGGCTTTCCAGTTCTTGTGAAAGAAAAGCCTCCCTATTGCAATACGAGCAACCATGTAACAGTGTGGGGTTTTCAGGGTGATGTAAGTTGTTTGTTTTATTAGTTTATTTCTACTTAAGCTATTACAAATTGTAACAAAAATTTTCATATCTATTAAATTGTGTCATTTGTTGTCATTAAATTGATGGGTTTTTTTTTTGTTATGCTATGTTTTTAGAACTTGGCTGCTTAGGATCTTTTTTTTTTCATTTCTCAAGTGTTTCTTCATTAAATTAGAAATTTGCATTCTCACCGCACCTCATCCTCTTTTTTTTTTTTTTTTTATACATTTTTCTTATCTGTTCTATTCTTTCTCAGCAGTGTTTTCCAAAGCGTCCAGCAAATTCCAAAACAGCTTCTTCCCCACTGCCATTTGACTGCTGAATGTTGAATAAAATGAAAAAAAAAAAAAAAAATGTAAACAATATACCGGTCTTATGTTTCTCCAGTATTTCAGTAATCCAGTAATTCCAGTATCATACACTGGAATTAAAATAGACATGAGATGTATGATTGCTGATTTTATCACTGCTGCAGAAATGGAAATGTCTTGAGAGCTGTACTGAATGAAATGTAATTTTTAAAACACTGTGGGCCGAATCTATCAAAGGTTTACGTTTATAAAAACGTGAGCTATTTCACTGCACACGCTAAAAAATGTACAAACTGATCTATCAACAGCGTGCTAAAAGGATTTGGTCTTTAAAACGTGCTAAATAGCGCCTCTTATCCATTTAGTACTTTTTCTGTAATGAATATGCAATATGGGGCGTTTACACGCAAAAGTGCGTCTTGTGGGAGGAGAACATGTAAATATATTAATTTAGCACTCGCAAAGTGATTTATCAAACCTGAAAGCTATTTTGCTAACGGTATCTGACTCTATATTTAACACCTTTCAAAAGAAGGTGCAAATGGTCTGTATGCGTAATTGCGCACACATGGCAGCAGTTATTGTCGCAAGAAGGAGACATCGAAATGAAGCAAGGAGACGCAGAGAACGCATTTTTTCACTAAATATTTTTGGAATGAACGAGGAAACGATCATCAAAACATTTAGTTTTTCCAGCATTGACATTTTGGAGCTGTTGGGGGAACTCCGAATGGATTTGGAGCCAGCCACAAGGAGGACCCACGCAATACCCCGGATATCACAAAACTCCTTGCAACATTGCACTTTTTTGCATCTGGGATCTCCCAATCTCGTTTTTCAGAAGTGCTGTCCGACGTTCTAAATGCCATGTCGCCCTGACGCCCTACCGGAGAACCCCGACCTCCCCCTTGCGCCTGTGGAGCAACATGCCAATGCTGCGGGGATGCGTATGCGCAGTCATCTTATCCACAGTCACATCTTGTGAGCCATTTGGTCTTTGCATTTTTCTACAGGCCAATACAAAACACCTGTTTTTTGTTTGTTTTTTTGTTTTGTTAATGCAGTGAAGAAGAAATTCAGCCACATACCACCTTAGGGAATAAGGGTTGCCAAAGTTTATATATATAAATTTTTTTTGGAGGGGGTGGGGGTGTCACTGTAAGATTTAAATTTCTTAATGCACTAGTTTGCACAAACTACAAACTACTTTGCCGCAAACCACAAAACGCGCAAAACCATCATTTAAATAGGGCGTCTCCAACAGTTTTGCACCTGCCACCAGTTACGCAATCGCTCTTGTTAAATCACCCGCAAACCATGGTTCAGCCCCTCGCGCAAAATTCCAGTTTGCGGGCGCAAATTACTGCACGCAAAAATGGATCTTGATAAATTCGGCCCTGTGTGTACAAAATGACAAAGTTTGTCTAAGTCTAAGTCAAAGACACGGAAAAGGTATTGTTCTCTTAAATCACTGACAGAAGTGAATGATAAATTAAACAGAATGCTGATTTTCGAATACATTTCTAGTTATATTATGCACTTAAAAGATTATTTTGTAAAACATAATTTAAACTTTTTGCATATTCCTATCTAAATTTGAGACATTTGACTACTTTTCCGTATTTCTTATCATAAAAATGCATCATTCCTTAAATGTCCTGACCTCTTGCAGACCTTTTTTAGATGTTCTGCTTATAAAAGTAGAATATTAACCACCATTCCTAGACTTTTGTTTTATACTTTCCCCTTAAACTGTTGGACTTTCTTGTATTTTTTTTTTTTTATTGTTCTTCAGGCAATGAAGATTATCATAGGTTTATAACCCCAGGAAAACGTGCATGCGTGTGTTTCCTACCTGTCTTGTTTTCATGTCTAAACAACACAAATTGAATGAATCAGCCTCTACATGTAAGCCAATTTAACAAGCATCAACTAACTGCTTCTTTTAATCACTACTGCGACTTAAAAAACACCCGTCCCACTTGAACTCTGAGTGCCTTCAGGTTTCTGTGTTATATGAGTAGAGTTTCAGTTCTTGCATACCGGTGCGACCTCTGCTCCAGCCAGCTGTGAGCAAAGAAGCAGGTCCAAATGACTGCAGTCTAAACACAGGGAATGTTGGACAGTGCCTGTGAAATTTTCTGAGTGGGGACAGGAAGTTTTGCTGCTCCAGTAGAGAGGGAGAGAGAGAGAGAGAGAGAGAGCACTGTTGATGTGGAACGGCGTGTAATGAAAAAGGTGAACCGTGCACTGACACTCGCTTTCAATGGGGGGGGGAGTCTGCTCTGTCTTGCACCACCCTGCAGCATGCCACAACCATAAAGGGGTCTTTACATGGGAGTGACTCTGAACCTTGCTGTTGGGGTGAGGTGGCAGAGCACAAACTGCTTGGTCATTTCCACGTCACACTATCAACAGCTAAAACCCTGGATGTTGCAACTCATGCAGAATCTTACTAACTGCAGAACACCAGTTTATAAGGGCAGTCTAACAGTATATCAGGGTTGATTTATAGTTTTATCTTGCTAAATACACTCTGTAGTCTCTTATGTAGTAAATGACAGCACCTGAGCTAAATGACAGACATAAAAGACACAAGAAGACAGTTATTGACAAAGCATACAGACACTTTTCTGACAGCTCTAATGTTCTGCATTGCTAAATGTATATTTCCCCCCCTTCATATTATTTCAAATTTTGAAAAAAAAAACCACTTTAACAATTCATCAAGTAAATAAGAAGTCAGATGTTTTGTCATTTATATAGTAAATTAGATGTACACCAATTATCTCAGCTTATTGCATCTGCTGTGTTTAGGGGGGAAAAAAACACTTGAGTTGACATTCGTGAATATTCACAAACCACTGAGGCATATGACACGTTTGATCATCTGCTCATAACAAAATCGCTTTTGCACCATTTATCATCTTGTTACAAAATGCTTTTAATAGCTGCCTCTTGTTTAATGTAAATCTTATGTGGAGACAAATTAAGCACCAGTCGCCCAGGCCTGTTTTGCATGTGACTGTACTGCAACAATCCAATTTGGTTTCGCATACAAATAGTGCATAGATGTCAAAAATCTCTAATAAACATTAGATATAAGAATGGAAGATCAGAGATGAACCATTTAATCAGCTAGGAATTTGAATTGAACATTTTATTTATCACCATCTATAGGTTAAATACGGAAAAAGTTGATTTTTTTTGCCCCCATATAAAGTGCATCGAAGCAAAGGGCTCCCAGCAAATTAGATCTATCAATGTATTAACCAGCGCAGGTAGATTAAGGGCCTCCTTCATTTTATAACAATAAGTCAAAGGTTAGGGACGCAGGCATTAAAGCACAAACATGGATGATTTTGTCATTCTAATTTTCTGTTGGAGATAAAGATGAAACCCAACTAAATATTTACTTTTACTTCAGTGAATTAAAATTTAAAAAACAATTTGTCTCTGATTTAAGTACGATTTTAAGTTACTCTAATTACTTCAGTTAAGGTAAAAAAAAAAAAAAAAAAACATCTTTAAAAAATTCAACAAACACACCTTTAAAAGTTATGTATTTTGTAATAAATAAAACTTTAAATACTCTCATTTTATTTTCTGTTTGCCAAGCCTGCTGTACCATTTGGAGGTCCAGTGATTATACAGCAAACAGTATTTGGAGCCAGTGGAAGTCCCCCTTAGATTAACATATAAACATTTGCTATTATAATATATATTGATATATATTAGGGCTGCAACTGACGATTATTTTGAAAATCAGTTAATCTGTCAATAATTGCTTCTATCACTCCATTCATAATCGCATAGCGAATAATTCTTTAAAGAAGATTTTTTTACAAAATTAATCCAGGGGAAACTAAAACTTTTCCATTTCAGGAATTGGGCATATTCACATACCTTTTTCTTAAATATATTATCTTAAATGAAAAATGTCTATATAATTTTTACAATCTTGGTGTAATTACTGCTCAAAGTGGGTTGCTCTGTCAGCTATAGGCATATTTTAGATACTCTATACTAACTCTATAACTATAACTCTATACTAACGATTAATCAATTACTAATTTAGATGATGATTTTCTCAATAATCAATTAATCCGATTAATTGTTTCCGATTAATTGATTAATTGTTTTCAACCAATTTAAATCTGTCTCTCTCTCTCTCTCTCTCTCTCTCTCTGTATATATATATATATATATATATATATATATATATATATATATATATATATATATATA